CCCTTACCGCACAGGTAGGTACCGGGCTTCTCAAAAAAGTTAGACGGATTTCTTTTTCGAATGGAGAACCCCTAACAACATTTAAGCAAAATCAATGCACGTTGAAAAACGGAGAATTGTTCGTAGATTTATATGACACCATGGTTTGAGCTTAAAAAATGAAGCCGTGGTCTTGGGAAGTAAAAGCAAAACTCGTGAAATTATGCTTTCCCAGACTAAGTCGGTCGGTTCGACACCACGGAAGATCCTCAAACACTTTCTCTTTGCCCTTAAGGGCAAAGAGAGCAACATCTTGAAACAAAATTTTCCACATTGTTGACAAGGCTCTGGCTCGAGGAAGTGTTAACACGCGCACTGCAGCGGGTCTGAGCCGAACACGAACTGCAGGGGGGGGGGGGGCCGCAGGCGCGTAACCACCACTGGGGACACTGGGGACCGGTCCCCAGTAACTTTTGGGTTACTGGGGACCGTCCCCAGTAAAACCGATGACCTCCTCAATTTGCTTAAATAGCCAAATATTGTCTCTAAATTGACGTGAAATGTGGTCAACGGAAGACAAAACTATGGATGTTTTGCTCAGCCCGCGCCCGGGTAGGCCTCTCGGCTCTCAGCAACTTCGCCATGGTGGGGGTAGGTTCTTTTTGGCCACACCAGATTATCTCGGAAAGAAACAAGCTAGAAAGACGCGGTAAAAAGCAACATCTATAGCTCGCTACAGTATCTTCAGAATTACCTATGTCATTTTGATCAGGTCACCGCTGAGGTCACTGGAGGTCACCAAAGGTAGAATTTTCACGAACTTTTTGTTCCCAATTTTGACAACTTCTCACAAATCGGCGCATAAGTCGGCAACCAATAGAGCTGCAGTGCTGCGGGAAAGTGCATTCGATAGCTCTTTCAAAGGCCTTTTCTGAATAGTGTTCTCAGATTTGACCAAAGGTCAACGGTTTAGCCTCCAGGTTGGCGTTTTTGCGGAAAAGGTTTTTGTATCATAACTTTTAACTCCAAACTTGTATGACGCTGATTTTACCGGCATCGCGTTTGTCTCGTCGAGACGCGTCGAATGAACTATACGTTGACCTATTTGACCCGAGGTCAAGGTCACGGAAAAGGTGATGTTGCATTGTCATTCGATTGGTATTGTTGAGCTGTTTTCATTCGTGGTGTTTTTAGCGCTCTAGCATGTTTCTGCCTAGAGTTATGGTAAAAAAAACTATCGGAGATGTCTCATGACCTGAGATGACCTCAGGGGCATGGAAGGGGTCACAGCCACAGGAACAATTTTCTGGTTCAGTGTGTCATGTTTACTCGTGTCACGGTGTTTGAATGTGTTTTCGGCCAAAAGAAGAGCATTTCAATTTTCTCTCATTGACTTATCGTAAAATTGAGGTCGCAAAATTGACGTTGACATTAGGTCACCAACGTAAAAACTTTGAGGTATACGAATTGTCCATATTGATTTTCCTCATGCAAAATCTCGAGTTTCAGACTTCTGGGATGTAAACTGTAGGAATTAGAGATGCCACTTTTGAACCCGCGAACCCGCTTTCTGCGGGTTTTAAAAACCCGCAGGATTTGTTGCGGGTTCAAGAAGCACAACTTAGTCGTGTGGCGGGTATTTGGCGATCATATCTTAGAACCTATAAAATAATTTTTCTTCTTTTTTTAATGCAAAACACAATGCCTGGTGCATTTGCTCAGGTTAACAATAAAATAGTCAACAAAACAATCTTAAAACAGAAGCAAATAGAAAAATATATCCAGGAAGCACATTTCAAATGCAAAACAACCAGCATCCACACTAGGAATGACAGTCATAAAGTTTTTTTAGAGGCTTGACCTGGTGACCTGACCTTAAGTGACCTGGGGTCAAAAGATTCACACGATGCGAAATTGAGGTATCATAAGCTATACCTACAAAGTTAAGCGGCGTCGCGCGCCGCGGTTTTCTTTACACATGCAAAAAGAAATGGCAGGTGTGGCCAACCCCACTCTCCATTCGGGCAAAAAATTATCCTAAAATATAATAGGCATTTGATCTTCGCGGCCCACCATGTGGTCCCCAGTAACTTCAGACTCGTGGTTACGCGCCTGGGGGGGGGGGGGTTGAAAACACCCCCCCCCCCCTGAGATCTCGAAAACGGCGCAACGTAGCGACAAGCGGTAAACGGCGTTGGATAGGTTAAGATGAGATCGACAAGAAATACAAAGATCATTTTTGGGTCAGGTCGAAGACGAGGTCACCAGAGGTCACCGAAGACAAAATGTTACGATTTTCACAACAGGAATTTCGCGGTAGTTTTTCTTGAATAACTTGTCTTGCACACAAGACAGAGGATCGATTCGAACGCCATCGTTCTTAGCTCGTCAAGGCGCATCGAATGATATATAATATGACCTCGAAAGGTCAAGTTGAAAATTTGACCTCAGGTCAAGGTCATGACCTGACCGAAATAGGTCATGTTGCATATCATTCGATCCGCATTGACGAGAAAAACACGATAAACGTCGAACGGAGTCTCTATCTCTACTCAATCTCAAGTTATTGAAGAAAAACCGCTGGTGACCTCAGGTGACCTAAGATGACCTGGAGATCACCTTCCAAAGGTCATAAGTGATATGTTTCGGTGAAATCACCAACAGGGACCTGTAATACTATGATCCTGAGCGTATTGAAGTCATGGGATGGCATTCAGAGTAAGTTGAAATTTCTCCCATTGACTTATAATGGGCCGGTCGCAAAAATGACCTGACCTTAGGTCATCGATATAAAAATTCCGAGATATACAAGTTGTAGCTCGTGATGACTTTACTATTTCCTGTGGGTTTCAAGATCATATCTCAACAACTGTGGGCTTGGTGGGATTGCTAACTTCGAAATTTACGTTTCGAGGTAGGGTCACTTGACCTGACCTGGTGACCTGACCATAGGTCACCTGGGGTCAAAATTTTTACTCAAGGTGTGCAAAAGTTGTGAGAACAGGTATGCAAAATTTGGCGGCGCTACGCGCCGCCGTTTTCTCGCAATTTGCGAAAAACCACAGGGGGGGGGGGGTGAAAACAACCCCCCCTGCAGTGCGCGTGTTAACAATAGGTTCACGCAATTCAAGGAACACAGCGGCGGCCATAAACCCAATCAAAGGCTCACGGCGAACACCACTCGTGTGAGAGATGCGCTACTCAGACTGTCAATGGTCAGCGATATCGGGTGGCTCTGGCGACGTTTTGGAGGGCTCTGCAATATCAGGATGAGCAGAGATCCGGAAACGCTTAAGATCCAATGGTTACAGCAAGGTTACAGCAAGACGGTGCCACGCCACGCCAATACCGCTAAAGAAAACCGGCAGGGGCTGTGGGAGCGCTTCGGGCAGCGCGTGATCCCGAGGTTCGAGACACGCCCGTGGTCGGCGAATTCTCCGAACGTAACCCCACCGGACTTTTTCCTATAGGACCACCTCAAGTCCCAGGTGTACCGAAACCACCCAAGAAGTTCCGAAGATCATAAGGATGCAGTGAAGTCAGCGGTGTGCCGTCTGCAGCCTTCCGTGGGTCGTGCTGCAGCAGAGGTCGCGCTGCGCCGGGCTAAACTGTGCATCGAGCAAAAAGGGAATCATCTCGAACATGACCTCGGCGCGGCTCAGAAAGGCGACTGCGGCGAAGGTCGAAATCCCCTCAAACGAAATGTCTCTGATGTGGCTTTTAGGTGATACCCAATTATGTTTCGTTACACTGATACAACCTTCAATACGTTAGTTATAAAATCGTCTAACTTTTTTAGAAGCCCGGTACCTACGTATATTTTTTTAGCTTATTTTTTTTTTCAACCTAACAATATGAAGTGGCCAGAATCCGGGGAGAGAGTAGGATTTGGGGGTAGGTAAGGTTCTGCAGGTGCCATCCTAACAAAAACCTAATGGCATTGAGCCCCCTTTCAGATGCCCCTGGATCCGCCCTTGCCCCGAACTTTATTCCCCCTCTCGACTTTTCCTGTAAAAGTAACCCTGGGTATGGGTATAGGGTCATGACGTCATTCAGGGTAAAAAGGCAGATTTTCAGTGTCGAATCTTGCAGGGAACGTATTTTTTTTTTTTAATCCCATATGCCTGAGATGAGATTAGTGCATTTTCCACAACAGAACAGTCCTGCAACCGTGTATATGTGACTATCAAAATTATAATGCAAAAGTATAATAAATGATGACTTGTTCACGAAGTGCTCGTGAACAGACAATGGTTCGGGAACAGATGACTTTGGGTGGAAGAATTTGTGAACTATCAAATAAACGAACAACGTTCACGAACTTTTTATGAGCCAACCTGTAAATTAAGATAACGAACCCTAGGTCATTTAAGTGAAGTTCATGTCTGATATCTTTCTTGATGCAATCCTGCTAGCTTACACCGCAAATGTGTTTCATAATTTTTAAATGGCATATACCTAACTTTTAGCGGGATGCCTATTGCCTAAGCCTCGGCATCGAAAGGTTACGAGGGACGCTATTTTCAAGCTAGGTGAAGGGCATGACTTAACTATGCAGTGGGTAAGATTTTGGTGGCTCATATTTAAACTCCGGGCAATATTAGCCGTTTTCACGACGGTCTCTCCGGCGTGTGCACCTAATTTGACCAAAGCTGCACCTAATCTCTTTTACAGCAAATATCTTCATTTAATGAATTTATTTCAGTGTTTTAATCGATGATGCTCTCTGATAATACAACAAAGCAGGCATATCAGCAATTAGTGTAACCCTAGCTGATAGCTACTAAGAGACACACTGAACCTGATTTCACCAAATCTCCACCTGCTTTGCACCACTCACCAGATGTGTACATACCAGATGGCCGTCGTGAAAACGGCTATTGTTCACTCCCACGTAGTCCGGCCTCGACTTCGACTCCGACCCCGTAACCCTGTTAGTACGAACAGTGCACGAATAAAAATTGCCCAATTTTGGCACGGGGAATTATTATTCGTTAATGGTTCGATGTGTCTGCCTCCAGTCGCGGACTTTTGTCGGATCATGGACGAGTTTCGTGCCAACGGCCGAGACTCGCCTCTGGAAGAGCCTCCGGACTTGGTGTCATTATCTCCACACCGCCAGCCAGCGCGCCCCGATTGGGAGCTCCGAGGCGTCCTCTGGTCCCGGTACTGGCAGGTGTGCCGCGACTACAGCGCCACCTACAACAGTGGCGCCACCTACCGCCCGGCCGACCGTGTGTGCGGCGAGTCGGCTCACCACGGGGTTCTGCCTGCGAGCGACGGTCGTCCAGCGATCAACGGTCGCGGCGAGGGGCTCGCCCGATCAGCTCTCGGCGAGCGGCCCGACCTCCCGCTGCACCGGCCCCCGCGCGGCGGCAGGTCGGCGGCACGCAAACGCTCCAAGCAGCCCAACCACTGTGTGTTCTGCAAGAACAACAACGAGCTGCCGTGCGTCTACCGCAGCCACATCCTGAAGGTGAGGGACACACTGCTGAGTAGGCCGCTAGCACAGTCGCGACCGCTCCCAAATCCGTTTGAGTTTTTGTGTTCGATAGATAGGTGGGTAGATTTGGGCTTTGATGGTTTGAAACGTTATTTGGTGCATTATAACAAGTATGTAAAGTTTCAAAGATAAGCAAGTAATAGCCTTTGGCTCATTGTATGATTGACAAAAGAAATGGAAAAGAATATATGTGCATATATTCATGTATTCTTTATATTCTTTTCCATTTCTTTTGCCAATTATACAATGAGCCAAAGGCTATTACTTGCTTATCTTTTAATCATAAAGGGGCTCAACACAATTTTCAAAGAAACCCTCAATATCATTTAATATGTAAAGTTTCAAACATATACGTGACACTGGTGACTGCAGACAATGCGTAAATCTTTAGCGGGATAAGCGGTCAAACAATTAACATCAGACGCGCGGAACCTAGCAAGTGAGGATCATATGCTGATATTTACATGAAGCCCTCCGCAATCGGTGAGCTCTCTGCAGTGAGCTTACAAACAAGGTGGCCCATAATACCGAAAGTGGGCAATAAATCGTCCCCGCCGGAGGTGTCATATCGCCAATGAGCGCAGGTCTGTGTACCGAACTCCCCTTCCCCTCGCCTCGGCAGGACGACCGGGGGCGCATCAGCTGCCCCATACTGCGCGTCTACACCTGTCCAACGTGCGGTGCTAACGGCGACAACGCACACACCGTCAAATACTGCCCGCGGCGGCCGGCAGAGCTGGGCGCTCGCCAGTCCGCGCCGCCGCCGCCGCCGCCCCAGCGTCTCGGACGGGCGATCACCAAACGGGGCGGACGCTGAAGACCTCAGCGGACACCGGGCAGCACTATAGGGTCTCAGGGGCCACCAGACGGCGCTACATGGGTCTCAGCGCGACACCGGACGGCGCTGAAAGGTCTCGGCGCGACGCCGGACGACGTTAAACGCTGTGCCCTTTGCCACGGTGATTTTTTTAAATAATTGATCATTAGGTCGCGGGCTCAAGTGCTTGCTCGCTTGTCAGGCTGCATTGTGCAGAACGTTACGATGTTACGCGCGTCATGTTCATCTTTTTGATATTTGAGTCACTCAATCATATCCAGTTTTACGTGTGGCTGTGCCGTTCTTTGTGCCACTTGCCGAAGTGCTGAATTCTTCGCTGAGAACTGGTGTGCCACATTGTTTTCTGAAAAGTTGTACAATATGTCGTGGTGCCTATGACTCTGCAGATCATTACGATCTTTTGCGCCTCATGTTCATTTTTTTCATATTTAACTCGCCCGATTATATCGAGTTTTGTCCAAGATTTGCATGTTGCAAGGTGTGACATTGCAAATAGATACATAAATAAACATGTTGATGCCTGTACTTTTATTTGAATATCCATGTAAAAGCTGAAAACTACGTACCTACGGCTACGTTAATGCCATTGCATGCATTTTAAGTGCCGAGCTCAAACACAGCCTCCCGTCACCGACAGCAAACACTGGCTCGTCCCGCTGCGGTTATTGGTTCTCGAGTTATCGGCTGAGGCTGTATAACGCAGTGTCCCAAAAATATATTTTGGCTTGGGTGTCGGAGGGGAATATTCCTCAATACATAAAGGGCTGGAGTGGAAAATTGCCAGTCAGAAAGGCACTAAAAAGAGTTGAAAATAGGGATCAACAATTTATTTGTGAATGTTAGAGGGTGCTCTGGGGAGCTGCATTATGGGATGATTAAGTAGAATATGGAGAGAGGTAAAATGTACACGCGGATGCTCCCGATTGGTAAAACAGGAAGCGAAAAATCGCTCTGGAAAATTGGAGGTGAGAGTGGAAAATTGTATTCATTAGGGTGTCGCTTCCCACCCAAACTTGCAAATTTTGTTTATTTATTTATTTATTTATTTATTTATTCATATCGCCGACGGGAGGACCCATTAAAAGACGAAGTCGCACTTTTAAAACGAATAAGTTACATGCATAGGTACAAAGACGACACACTCGGGTAGGTATACATATAATAAAAGACCAATAAATAAACGGCCGGTAAAAAAATAAAAAAATAAAAATAGATATAAAAGATAGAAGGTATAAATAAAATAAGAATACTCAATAGAGTGCGATAAGTGACAACAAGGATGACGACAAGATGCCAGTAAAATGCTAGTAAATGAAATGAATGAACCTGCCAGGCAGGCACATCGAATACAGCGAGGCATTTCCATTAGCGTCACATTTCCGCCACAAAATGTCTGACGCTGCTACGGAATGTGAAAATACCGTCGCAGAACACGTCCACCGCGGGAAGTCTCTCTACAAGCCGGTTGAGCTGCCTCGGCAGCCTTGTAAATAAGCCGTTTTTCATTGCGTTCACCCTTGCAAATGGCACATGCAGCAGCGCACTCGCCTGTTGCCTAGTTGCGCGGATAGGCACACTAAGCGAGAACGCCTGCAGCAAGAGTGCGGACTTAATTCTGCCTCTAAGCACGTTGCGAACAAACATGATATCGTGCTGCACCAGCCTGGCAGATACGGAAGTGAGGTTAAAATGTTTCAACAAATCGGCATATGAAATGGAAGTTGAGCGATGATGACAGTTGGCGTTCAGCCACATTAAAAACTTGTGTTCGATCCGGCCAATCCTGTCGAGATGCACTGCGGCGGCTCCACTCCAAATTACACTGCAGTATTCCATGTTGGAACGAACATAGGCGAAGTATGATACCATGACAGATGATACATTGAGATTGAGATGTCCTCCCGGGGTAGCCCTTTGATACGATCTGATTAGGACACCCAAAGCACGATTTGTTTTTGATACCATCTGATGAACGTGGGGTCCGAATGTAAGTTTTGTGTCCAAAATAACGCCCAAATCTCGAATTTCGTTCACATGTTCCAAAACCGTGCCTCCGATTGAATATGCCGTGACCAGTGGTTTTGTTTTTAGAGTCATTCTGAACGTTTTGCATTTTGATGGGTTTAGCCTGAGATGCCAAGTTTTCGACCACTGGTGCAGACGTTCAAGATCTCCTTGTAAGCTTGTTGCATCTTTTGGACAGGCTATTTTACGATAAATTTTGGCGTCGTCAGCAAAAAGAAGTACCCGGGAGGACATCCCAACAGACAGGTCGTTGATGAAGAGCGCGAAACACAGAGCAGAAATTACGCCGCCTTCCGGGGTGCCGGATGTGACACAGCACCAATCCGAACACTTCCCGTTCACCACAACGCGCTGCTGCCTATTGTTGAGGTATGACGTCAGCCAGCTCAGTGCCGAACCTGATATGTGATATGACGTTTTAAGTTTGTGAATTAAAAGACGATGATTGACACTCTGAAAGGCGGCTGAGAAGTCTGTATACACACAGTCGGTTTGGCACTGTTCGTCAATCGAGTTGTATGCGGCACTGAGCAGTGTGGCCAGGTTCGTTGCACACGACCTGCCTGGGACAAAGCCGTGCTGCTCGGGCGATATAGCGGGGGTCACATGTCGAAGCAAGCTGAGGTAAACAACTTTCTCAAGGACTTTACCGAAGAGTGGTATGAGTGACACGGAGCGATAGTTGGCAGGGTCCTTGACACTACCTTTTTTGAACAGTGGTACGACATTGGCTTTCTTCCAGTACGTCGGAAAAACACCCTGGCTCAGAGAGAGCTTGCAGATCTTAGTAATTGGAACTGACAGCGCGCCGCTGCACTCCCGTATGATACGGGCGCTTATGCCATCAGGGCCACAGGCCTTATTTACAGGTATGTTTTCCATGATATTTTTTACCAGATCTGCATTGCATTCGAAATGGGTCAAAGGTGACAAGTTGTAAGACGGACACTGGGGTAGTACGGTCACAGGGGAGTCCGTAAATTTGGCCGCGAACGCCCTGTTGAGTGCATTCGCTTTGTCTGTGTCGTCCGTGACCTCTACACCGTCTACTTTGAGAGCTGATAGACCTTTAGTTCCGCTTTTGGTACACTTTAAGAAAGACCAGAACCGTTTTGGATTTGTTTTAAATTCGGCTGTGAGTCCCACTAAATAGTCGCTGTATTTTTTGTTTGCTAAGTTCCTAAATTCTCGTCGCTTGTTTCGAAATATCTGTTCGGTCTCCTCGCATCGATTACGTTTCAGTCTGCGAAAGGCAGTCTCTTTCTCTCGCAGTAGATCACGCAAGCCACGGTCGAACCAAGGTGGGTAGTTCCTCTTTATATCAACGACAGGTATGCAGTCGCTGATGACTGCATTCAAGAGGTCGTAGAATGCGTCTACTGCTGCGTCCACATGCATACTGTCCAACACGGTCCATGGCAATAATTGTAACGACACACGCATTCTATCGAAGTCAGCTTGTTTGTAGTTGAAAGCTGAACGCCTGGTAGTAAGAGGTGCGGCAGTAGTGACGTTGCGCACAGTAAATTCGACTTGTTTATGGTCGGAATCGAAAATACCGTCGTGTACATTCACATCGGTGACACATGATTTGTTGCACAGTGTCAGGTCAAGCGTATTTGCACCGCGAGTCGGGACACATACAAATTTTGTCAGAGTTATACGCGATGAATGTTAACCCGACATTCGCTGGGGTATTTCACCACCCAACACTTTCGGAGGGGTGTTCAGAATTGCTAGACATATTTATGAAATCTGATGGCCAAGAGATTTCACTTTCTGAGGAGAGACGTTATAAGTGTCCCAAATAAATAAATAAATAAATAAATAAATAAATAAAATAAAATCGTCAGTCTTCATCGTTTTTGCTCTCAGGAGGCCATCGGTTTACCTGAGGGTCAAATCTGAGACATGGCGTGCGAGACAGGTTTAACCACCGCAGGACCTATTGGTTTTCTGCTATACGTCCCGGCCGAGGGGGGGGGGGGGGGGGCACGACCCCATCGCCGTTTCGCCCCTAATTGAGCTAGAGCTTCGCAGAGAAAACGAGCATGTGTCCCGTTACGAGACGCAGCGACTGGTACCCGATTTTAAGGTCTCAGGTCAGGTGCCCGAAGGTACGGGATCGGTTTGTGGTACATAACTTCGCGAAAAATGGCCGCAAAGCCGCAATTTTGGCACCATCGTGTTTTCCATGCCAGCTCCCCTGTGACTGATCTGACCTCAGGTGAGTCTAAGAAAAAATCCGAGATATACAAGTTATGAGGCCATCGCTTTCCGAGCTATCGCGAAAAGTAAGACCCTAATGGGAGGGGGGAGGGGGAACCCGCCCATTCCCCGCGGCCGGCGAAGGTAAAAGATATGTCGAATGTCTGACCGTGATATTCTAGCTTTACGTACGTATGATATATGTGACGAGCTGTGATCCAGCTCGACAAAAAAAGTCAAAACGGAGAAAATATGACCTTGATGTCCTCTGATGAACTGACCATTGTCTTGGCCTAAAAATTACCGCGTAGGTTTTGACATCTATTATTTTTGACGCTTCTTCAACGCTGCCTGCCGCGTATTGCTACGTGCGGCACAGTAGCCGAGTTAGTGGGAAGGGGAGTGAAAACGCCCCCACTCTGGAGTACAGTATGCTAGGTCGGGCAATGAGCCGCCCTGGCGTTAGTTATCTTAGGGGAGTCCTGAGCCACGGCAATGTCAATTTACGCCTCTGATCACTGATCAGTATTATTACGTTATACAGGGTGTTGCACATGTAGACCTATCTCATGAAGTTATTAGCCGTTCTTACGGCAGGTTATTTGTCGAATGCACCAAACTTGACCAAATCTGCGCCAAATCTCAATGTCACAAGATAATGCACAAAATTCATGAAGTCGAGTTGAATGGCTTTATGGGAAATTCTGGCTTTAGGTCAAGGTCATGACTGGACCGAAAGAGACTATGCTACATATCAGTCGATCCGTATCGTCAAGCTGAATACATTAAAGCTGTTTTTATGGCTCTATAAAACTAGAACGTCTTTATCGAAAGCTGTTTTTGCAAAACTGCTTTTAACCTTGCACGACCCCAGTTGTCGTTTACGACATAGGACGATGATAGCGATACTGCACGATTCTGGGCGATACGTCACCGAATTTAACAACGATGATGTTGCTGTGATGATGCGAACCGATCGATTGTTTTAGCTTGTGCAGCAGAGTTTGAAATACAGTTAGAGGCCATAGGCGGCGGAACGGGGAGGGTACCGGGGCACCGTGCCCCCCCTTTGATTTTGGCATTTTAACATAAGCCCTATGGGCGTTGCATGGAAAGAATGGGACCAAAAGTCGGCAGTGCCCCCCCCCCCCCCTTAATTGAAGGTGTTCCGCCGCTACTGTTACAGGCCATTGATAGTTCGAAGCGAACCAGTTTGGCATATCGTCACTTTTGTATCGTGATTTGTGTTTTCGTATTTCAAACCAGTGAACGAGGC